CGCGTCAAATATGGACACCACCAAAAAGAAAATTCGCTATATTTTACAATATTTCTTCGATCAAGGCGAAAAGGTAGCCAAAGCGGCTGAAAAAATTAATTTAGTTCCTCGGTCCGATACTGTAAACGAACGTGTAGCACAAAGTTGGTTTGCTAGGTTCCATTCCGTTAATATCGTTGCCAAAGATGATTGCGATAAAATCATAGAAACAGTGGTGTAAGATTTTTATTGCAGAAAAAGGTCACGTGACATTATCAAGCTAAAAAAGAAAAGAGATATCTACAGTTAGAGGTCTTCTTGCAGGGTATATTATATTGGGTAAACTCGCAGAGGGGTTGCTCAGTTTTGAAAACTCTATACATTGGTTTGATTAGTTGGAGGCGGTCCTTTGGTGGCCTAAGTGAACTGATGCCCGGAAAACGCTTAAACCATCCAAGACTTTTGTAAATGTTCAGGTATATTTCTCGATATTTTCTTCAAAGATATAACTTTTTTTAATATACGTTTACTTCAATGAATGGTCACTCTGGGACTTATTGAAATCCCTTACTTAAGCTTCTCAGAAATCTTGGAGATATTTGTTGGGAATTATGGTATTATGTAGTATAATATTTTCATCCTATAACCATCTTTGGAATCCAAAAATTTGTTTGCGTTTAACCTTTTAACTGTTTATGGCGAGTGTACTCGTCAGACCGAACTGAAAATTTTGCGTATACACGTAATGTTGAGGAAACTGTTCGTAAAGATAAAAAAATCACATTCGTAATATTTTAAAGCTATCATTGCCCTTAATTTGAATTTTTAATTTTGTAACTTAGATTAATTGAAATTCAGTTGGTCTATTATTGCTTCTGTTTTCATTCCTCTAATGTCTTAATTTTATCTTTATGTGATATTTTTTTATCAATGAAGCAACAAATTTTGTTTGTTAACAAAAAAATAAAAATATATATTTTCTAAAAAAAACAACAAGCAACGTTTTATTTATAATCATAATTGCCTGCTTTTATAGGAAGAAACATTTAACACTGTTTATGTATGTATATTAGGCGAAATAATATACAGTTAGATGGTTAATCATACTTAAAGTTAGTATATAACAAGGGGTATATAGTGGTTTTTGTAGGGTTAATGATCTGAGAGCGTTTTTAAAAAAATATTGATTTTATTTGTTCAAGTCAAAATCGAACGGGTATGGGACGATTCATTAATTTACAAACATAAATTTTATTTATGTAGGAAAGTATATTGTAAACGCATTTAAAATTTCCCTAAATTGAGCAAATGTTTGTTGTAGTTTTCCAGTACGTATGAGTAATATTTAATTACCGCTTTTCATTTAAAAAAAAAAAAACACTTCGATTAACAAAACACTAATTGCTTACAAACACTTGCTTTGACATCCAATGGGAGTACATTTATTTCCTCGAAGTTATTTAAATTAAATTTTTTCTCTTTTGTTGTAAAACCACTCAAGCGAAATATGCACATAATCGTAGATACTCGCACATGTGTATGTTCAGATTTAGTTATATACATATATTTTAGATGACGGCATATTAGAAATAGGTGAGAGAATTATTTTTTTTTTTACAATTTATTTGGGACGGCCACAAAGCAGAGGTGTTGGCATTGCGTCAATGTCATTCTGATGGTCAGAGCTCGAGTTCTGGTTCTCTACCAACATCCAAAAAGAATTTTTTTAATTGCGGTTGCCCCTTTTTTGACACAAATAAAGGTCACACAACACTAATTGGAGGAGAAGCTCGGCCGAGAATCGCTTAAGCGGTTACAAAGTGCCAAGTAAAGCTAGCCTGCTCTTGTATTTCTGCATGTGAAATAAAAAGCGAATCATAAAAATCCATCGGCTGTTACAAATATTTTTTTTTTTTTTATTAATTTTTGTACTTTGCTTTTTTAGTTTATTCTTCAAGGTAAATATGGCTTTCACTTAACCAAAACATGTACTTGACTATGTATGTATGCCACTTGTGTATATATTATATGTAAATATGTCCATTTAAACCGTAACGATACTTTTTCTGACCACCTGTGTGTTCACTATTACATATGTGCATAGATATACATATATACATATGTACATATATTTAAATGTAATAAAAAATGCTCTCACAGGAAATTGTATTGTAATGGAAATTTCGAATTTTCACATTGCCATGAAATTGAATTCTTCATTGTTTTGGCGTTTAAATAGTTAGATTAAAAAATAAAAATGGAATACTACATCGATTTAAATACCTCTATGCATAAGGGAGGTGGTCGAGGCTTTAGGCAAACCCATTATTCAAATTCATTCAAATGAATTACTAACGGTGAAGCGTCAATCTGTCGATGATTTGTAGATTATTTGCAACACTTGACTAACTGTCTGCCTACTGGAGCTATTATTTTTTATATTCTTTATTTATTTTGCATCTATTGTGAGATTTTAGTTCTGAAATGTGACGTGAACTGCAAATATTACAAAACTTTAGCAGTTGCTGCTGGTGTTTAAATTTTATTACGTCACTTGAATGCCTTGCATTATTTTCACGCTTTTCACATTGTATTAACAATTAAAATTATTAATAACAATTAAAACTATATCTTTACGGGTTGAGGCGCATATATACTTACATTTTAACTGTATCGATTGCTCAAATGAAGGTTCATACAGCATTTATTGTAATAATTCAGGTGAGATTTCGAAGATTAAATTTGTTTATTTTCTCTACAACAACACTATCAGTCTTTTGAGCAACTAAGGCCCGTGCTTTAACAGCGGAGTGCAATAGTTGGCTCAAACGATTTTATACCTGTGCGGTCTACTCTCACGAGATAAAGAGTTTCCGATCATGTTATATTTGCTATTTGTTGTTTTTTTTTTAGAAAAGAGTATCAACATCCTACTGTTTCGAACTTATTATTTCCTTTCATGAGAACGTCTTCCTATTAACCTATGAACAATTCTCCAACAATTTTCGAAATTCTCACTTATTTCACTGTTTTGCAATGCAGAAAATTATTCTCCTTATGGTTTTCATGCCTGATCCCATGCAGAACTCTTTATACCTTTCATGAATCTTTATGCGGAGGCTGTATGATATACTCATAAGCTCTGCTCGTCGAGAAAAGTCAGTAAGGATTTCTTAGTAAGCAAGATTAAGAGAGATAAAGATGGTCTATCTTACTCTTCTGAAGACTAAAATTTCGTTTTGTGCATAATGAATACTTTATCAGCATTTTACATTTTAGTTTTTCTTATTTGCGGTCGCCCCTTGGCCCTCCACCTCCGACTGTATTTCGGAGACAGCTTATAGAATAAACTGTAGGTCACTACAATTGTTGTAAGATCATCAAGACTCATACCACAAATTAGAGGAGGAGCTCGGCGGAAAATCGCTTAAGCGGTTACAAAGTGCCAATTTTGCAATAATAACGTCTTCTTCGTGGAATTATTCATTGGTTTGTGAACATATGATTTGAATCATGAACATACAAAATTTTACCTGGACTGTTTCAAAAGACCGAAATCTAGCAGATGCTCCAGCGGAAAATTGTAGAAAGGTAACCTACACCTTTTACTGAAGGGAAGTAAAGACTATATACTGAACATGTACGCTTGCTTGAAGCTTTATACCTTTTGAGGAATAGGGAAGTCGGTTATCTCCTCCAACTTAGTTGGATGGATACATGTTGACACAATTTCTTCGTCTAGATTTTTTTAAATTTTACATCTTTGTTAAATGTGTTGCCTTGTGAGTCGAGATGAGATGCAAAAGAAACATATGGTATAATACAAGTCTTGATAACTGACGATTGAGTGGAGCTATTCGGCGTTCCAAGCGATCAAAAGCTCTTCGTCCAGATGCTTTACTCAAATCAAAAATTGCGTCTAAATTATTGTTATTAAAACGTTTGATTGCTTCGTTGATAATATTAACATAACGATGATTTTCGTCAGGCCCTCCATCAAGCGTAAAGACCTATTGTTACGTATACGGTCGATGAAGGGCCTGCCGAAAATTCTTTACTTTCAGAAGTTCAAGTTAAGTCTTCAAGCAGCTCTAGATCTAATAAACGTGTAAAATTAGCATAAACTTACTGTACATACATACATATGTACTATCAACTTATGTGTGAAAGAAAGCTGTGAGCATTTGAAATCTAAAGCAATCTAATTTACTACTAAATGAAAGTGTCTGTACTTATGTTAGGACCTTTTATATTTACATACATATCTACATACAAAGCTTTTAGGTCATTAGCAATCTTCAAAATAGTAAAAAAGTAATTTAAGCCACCGACTATCAAAAAAAATTTTACTTCCCAAAAATTTGTTTCCTAGCGCCCCCTCTCCTAAGTAAGCATGCATAAAGATTCATTTTATTCTGTATTAATATAATTTTTATTTCAAGTATTTTTTTTTTTTTTTTTTTGAATTTGCAACTTTAACTCCAAAGTGAAGGTCGAAATGGTGCTCTCTCGTTACAAATATTACCGGCTTTTTGTCTCATCGAACGCAGTTTGGTAATATTGCTATTGCCATAAGGTCACCGAACAGAACTGTTTGCTATTTCATAATTTTACACCCATGTTTTCTCATCAGCTTAAAAATACATCTTTTGTTTGACCTCTAATCGTCAGTATTAAAAAAATTCGTTGTTTCTTATTCAGATTTTTTTATAACTTCTTATCATCGTTTGGGTATCTTTGTTTCTATTTCCGATTATTTTTTAAGTACACTATTCCTGCTGTACTGGAAAAGGTATTATAATCTTATTGTACCGCTACCACAACAACAATAACATAATATTATTGCACTAATGTTCTCGTTTGATTAATTAATAAAATATCACCGCCATTTACATATAATAGATCCTTTTTTTCACCTTTAAATTTTTTCTAGAATTTATTGCTAATTCAAAAAATTTTAATTGTGCTTGAGTTTCGCCTTAATGTAAATTCAATTAAATTGTTTAATATATCTCTTATAGGTGCTCTTCCCACTTATTTTTGCTGGATTGCTTGGTAAAGTTGATGTGGAGGCCAACGTAGAGGGTGGTGGAACATCGGGACAGGCGGGCGCTATTCGGTGGGGCATAGCAATGAGTTTACGTAGTTTCGTTGACCAAGAAATGGTCGAGTCGATGCGTCTAGGTCAGTATATAATTTAATTTTTCTAAGAATATGTGTTTTTATTTTTTATTTTCATATACAAAAAAATACTTTAAACGCAGCCGGTCTGTTGCAACGCGACTATCGACGTCGTGAGCGTAAGAAGTTTGGACAAGAAGGTGCACGTCGCAAGTATACATGGAAGAAACGTTAAAGCTCACACACTCCTCGCATTATAATAGCATTTTAAGCTACGCATTAAATAGAATTGTTATTTTTAATAAAAACCATGTTTTCAAATACTTTATAATCAATCAATCCAATAGTATAGAATTTTTAATAAAATGCATAAGTGCTACATTACAATAAATGCTTAAAACTAAAATAACATTCACATATGTTCTAGCGGACGAAGACCTAGAATACGCATGCCTGTGTTTAGATTGCGTTTAGCAGCATTGAATAGAAGCAAACGATTTTGTTGTTTTCTAGCGCAGATCTCATTTTTTATATTCAACCGTTTCAAAGCGCGACTAGTTGAATTGCTGAAATTATTAAGAGATTCAAATCTGCCAATTCTTGGAAATTTTCATAAATATTTACCACAGTGCGAACAAATGGTTCACAAGTATGCACGCCTCTAATTGTTGTTTGGACCACCATAGAGCTTGCTCGAAGCGAGCTATTTCATTGAGTAAATCTTGCGCTTCAGGTTCTGATAATTCTGTCACATCCACCTTACAGCTAGTAATATCAATGTTTTTTAAATTTTGCAGCAAACTGTGCAAACGGCAGTGTGTATATTGTAGTTTGATACCCGTGTCTCCATTCACTTGTAATACCTTCTGCCAATCAAAGTCGTAGTCTCGTTGTCGACGCAATTTTAGATCATTTATGATAACTGCCGACACACCTAGAACATCGGCAACAGTCTTGTAATCGCTGGATGAGCTGGATAAATCGACTCTTGTTGCTAAAATTATTTTCAAAAGAAATTTAATATATAATGTGTTTTACTTTTTATATGAAAAATGTAAGCGAATTTAGACTCACTTGCACTTTTCAATTGTTTTTCCAGCATTATGTTTTGAGCCTCATCTAGCACATCTCGTAAGAATACCACTTTACCGCTACGCGTACTCATGCCATGAATACGCCCAAATTTTACATGCACCATTCGTTCTAAGGGTATATCCGTGGTTAAAGCTGCTGTAGTTTTGAATAGAGAATTAAAGTGATCCGCCTGCCCATTTTCCACTACATAGTACATCCGATCGAAGTTATAACGATGATACCGATCCAATATTGCCGCGATATCGCGTGTTAAATATAAACTGGACCCGTCACTTTTTATAACTGGTACACGTTTTCCATCCACGTCAACCACCTTCCTTCCATCACTCTCGTCTAACAATAGTTTACATTTCTGCAAGTGATCCAAAACGTTCCCTATGTGGCGTTGGGAGTACTGAGATTCCCAATCATATTGATCGAAGCGAACACCCAAGCGCGCAAATATCTTTTCTAATTCATCAACTGTATATTTACGGTAATGCTGCCATTGTCGTGCCATCTCTTTATCTGCTCCGGTTTCTAGCCTGGTAAAAGACTCCCGCGCCTTTTCTGTTATCATGGCATCTGTTTTCGCTGCATTATTAGCAGCCACATACGCAGAGTAGAGTGATTCAATTGGCTGGTTTCGCATCTGCTCATCAGTAATACCCAGAATTTGAACGCCTACATGCAGCATGCCAAATTGTGTTCCCCAATCTCCAAGATAATTGATTCGAGTAACACGATAGCCCAAATGCTCATGTAAATTAGCCAGTACATTACCGATGATTGTTGATCGCAAATGGCCTACATGGAATGGCTTTGCAATATTGGGTGAACTGAAATCGAATACCATATGAGATTTTAGTTGTGGTGGAAACTCCTCATTTTGTTGAAGCAATGACTCTGCAAATGTTTGCGCTGGTATTTTAAATTCAACACGTGCGCAAATTTTACCAGCAGAAGGTAAAAATTTCACTCTTTCAATCAGAGATTTATCAAACTTCAATCGAGGAATGATCTGCAGCAATTCATCACTTGCATTGTTGATTGATGGTGTCCAGTGAAATGTTCCTGGGCTTTTAAGAGGCACTTGTAATTCTTGGTACACATTGTTGCCAAGTTGAGTTATTTGTGAAATCTATAAGGAAAGGAATTTGTTTAACGAAATTTGATAATGTAATAAAAAATCTCTCGCTAAATATATAAAAACCAAAGTTTACATTTACCTTTTCACTTATAGCCCTTCGAATATATCTGCTCATTTTGACAATTCATGTTCGAATTTTTGCCATTAAGTTCTATACTATCACAGCTGATCAAAAGTGTTGCAGGTAAGGGCACAATAGGAAAAAATAGTAGTTAGTTTTTAATATGACCTTTTTCATTATATAGGCCGTGATTACTTCTAAATCCTTAGAGTTAGATCACTTGCCTGTTAAATAAAACATTTATATTATATATAAACGACGTTTTATTTAATAACTCCAATATTCTTTACACTGATGTTTTCTATACCGTCCTCTATATGTAGCTATGAATTGCTCACTTGTATGTTTTAGTAAATTCCGCTAAGATTTTCTCGAAAACGAACTTTATATATGGGCTATATGTAGAAGATACATTAGTTAGTAGCTTCTCCTTCTCACCTAAGATGCGTATTTCTTTTTCCACCTAACTCCGAGAATACCGATCAGACACACTTTTATTAAACGCTGCGAGTTTATTTAAGTGGACAACGTTCACCTTGGTCTGCTAAAGGCCTGGATTTGATACACAATGTTGTTTAAACGTTTTACAACTTTATACAGACCATTCTAATCGCACTACATCCGTGGGGATATGAAACCAACACCAGATCTACTTACCTGTTTCTAACCATTTTCATGGGTATTTATTCAATTCAATTCAAAATTATTATGTAGTCAATGATTTTACAAATCTTAATTAAAAATTTATAAATATATGAGTATATTATGAAAAAATGATTAAGAATAGAGCCAAATCGGGATCTCGGAAATGCGAAATCAAGGTCAAGACTTCTAGAGATTCTATTAAATTCAGAGAGTGCTCTTATAATAGGAGCATAATTGTGAAAATTTGCTTTAAGGGCATCTAAATATAATGGATAGCGAGAGCGCAAAGTTCTATAAGGAACATTAAAACCGATTTGCTCAAGGAGCTCTGGGCAGTCCTCTAAGCCATTGATAATGTCATAAATAAATGACTGGATAGGTCGTCGAAGAGATTTGAGATTTCTTAGCATGCATTTATAAGGATACATATATACGAATGTAGGGGGTTAGAGATATGAAGCGGACCAAGAGGACGGTTTCAGGTCCAAAGGAATGTCTAAAAGTAATTTTCAATCGGTGCTATTTCAAGAAATGTGATAGTTTCTGGGTATTCGGAAAACCCGAAAGAGAGCACTGAGGCAGCGAACTCATAGAATGTTCCGCACTTCGTAAGAAGAGGCAAAAAGTGAGGTATCTAAGAGAGCTGTTTAACATGGCCCTACTCTAACCAAAAACCCCATCCTTTTGTCGGCACCCTGACACGCCTTTGGCATATAAAGACCGTGTAAACCTAAGAAAAGATGAGATTTCGAAAAAACTAATCGGCGAGCGCGCACATGGCGATAATAAAATTAATAAAATACGTATAAATAAATAGTAAACATATATGGATAAAGTGACTTTGTCATGTACACAATTACATTACAAATTCTGTAATATTTAATTAAATAAAACTTTTGTATTAACAAGTAGAATATGGGAGTGGATTAGTTTTAGACACACGAAGAGACACTTGCGTGAGTGAGAGCGATTAACATAGCATTAGGCAGCTACAAAGTTAACTCGTTGATGACAACTTTGGAGCAAGAACAAAATAGTCGAGTGTGAAGTGAAAACATAATCGTATTGTATAGTAAAGCGAATTATTATTTACTGACTAATAAATAAACGTTGATTAAGTTCTTTACAATTGAGAAATTGTTATGTTATCGAACTCGAGAGATGTGGAAAATCATCGTGGAGCATTTAGCGCAACATTTAATTTAGTGTTATCTGATTTAGCAGTACCGATTAAAATATGGCAACACTGGTAGCTAAATGTCATATAAAGAGAAATCCAATTAGAAGTGGTAGCAGCAGCAGAACTCAAAGCAGAGATATCAAATTCGACGTCCAGAGTTTTTTCTCCGTAGGATTGACACGAATCATACATGCACTCAAAAGAAAAAAAAGCGGAGAGAAGCTGAAACATAAATTGGAAAAATCGAAAGAGGAAAATTTTAGCGCAAGAGAAACTGTGAAGATTAATTTTTGGGTCTAATCAACTTCGCGAAGTGATTTAAAAAAAATATTGGATGAATTGATTGCGAAAAGTTGCTGTTGAAAAGAAAATACCAATTGAATTGTTGTGCAAAAGCCGAAACCAGTTGGGTGGAAAAAGATTAAAAGTGAGTGCCAATGTGAATTAATAATCTATAGATGAATGTAATGAGAATGTAAAAAAATATAACGACTCAATGTGTGTGGTGACAAGACAAGAAATTGGTTGTGCAAATAAAAAGTAAAGAATAAAAATGTTTGTGTGTTTTGGTTGCTTATGCATAATTTCGGTGCTCGATGCTCGTTGGTAACGAATAGGGCTTAATGAGTATAATACGTGGCTACGTTCATCCAAAATTCAAAAATTTGGTTAATCGAAGACAAAGCACAATTCGATATAATTCTTCAAACATATTCAGTGGCATTAGACTTCTCGCGTTAGCAATATGGTAATACAATAAAATTTGTAATTTCGGTTCAGTCTGTTCAAAGAAATATAAATGAACGCATTTCAAGTTATCAATTGACATTTGGAGGAAACCTTGCACAGGTGCAGCTGACAGGCATTGATTTTTGCGGCGTCGCTGCTAACGTCGCCGTTGTATTCTCTGCTTTCAAAGACGCCAGCGTAGCGCTTTGAACTGTTACCCGCCTCGTAGTATTTTCGTTATGAAAATTCTTATTTTCTTCCAAATACTTTTACGGGTACAAGAAAATAAAACGGTAGAAGCTATTGTGCGTGTTTCAGGCAAAGTTATTCTTTTGCTGCTTCTAAAAATTGTACATACAAATACGCTTGTTTTATGTAGAAGCATGTATGTATGTACATGAGCAAATACTTTAGTGAAGGGGTGGTAAACTGCGTAAGGCGTCAGTCTGTCAGGCGCTGGTTTAATTCACTCATATTGATTTAAGAGAGAGCTTTTAAAAACATTGGACATTTGATATGAAAAAATGCAAAAATTTAAATAAGATATCTAGGTAAAAGGTTATAATTATATATTACTCTTTAAGTGTTGGCTACACCTTTAGGAGGCTTTAAGTAGTAAAACATTTAAAAACGCCGTAATCTTGACATAGGTAGAAGAGTAACCAGAGGTATGTACCAGCAAGATAACCATTCTAAACATATATAGTATAAAGATGTTGGCCAGGTTATAGTTTGGCGGGTTTAATTCCAGGGGCGCATCCCGATAACTTGTGAGAATTTAATGTAAGAAAAAAGACGTGTTGTTTAAAAAAAACCTGGTACAATAAATCGCCGGAAGTTCTTAGTAATCAGATTGGATTCAAATGATATGTGTTCATAAAAAATATTCTCATATAAATATTCTCGTGTCAAAATTTGTTTGAGTTGGAATATAATAAAATAAAACTTATACTGGGTGTTATATCGTACGATGCTTGATAAGGGGGTTTTGTCGTTACTTGCAACATCAATGAGAATAAAATTTCTACAAAGTGCGGAAAGCAACAACAGCCTGTGGCCGGATCGGCTAGTAATATATAAGGTCGTCCATTTTGTAGTTTCAAAAGTGCAAGGCTATATTTTGACATCTTTCAAAATTAAATTTATAACCCAACATCCTTTGTCTTAACAATTCAACAACGTCCAACTAAAAAGCAAATAGCAAAACCTTAAAGACATTTTAGGAGATTAAGTTTTGCTCGTTCCACTTCAAATATCGCCATTGATATTTTCTAACGGTACTTATACCTATTTACATCCATATAAAATACAGCTCACACAGCAACTGAAATCGGCAGAACAAAATTGAAATAAATGCATTTTATTTACATTGATTTTCGAAACCGTAATGTGGATAACCCTTCTTGATATCAAATAAGAGGGAGCTAGGTATAGGTATATTCAAATAATCACCAAATTTCAAAATGTGCTTTCGTTTATACGCCCCCTATTTTTCATCAATAGGTACTGGTAAGAAAACAAGCATAAGTAAAGGAGTTACTTAAATGAATAATAACAATAAAATGCAATGTGTTAAAAATTGTGATCAAAAGTCATAGGTGTCAGCAATAATAAATAACAAAGTGATGAAAAAAGAGCAATAATAACTATTCGAATATTCACTATTGTTGAATAGTCGTTTATTCTTAAATAATCATTTTTAGTTACCAATTATTAAATAGTTAAAGACGTTTTGCAAAAATATATTTATGCGCACATGGTATAACATGTACTATGAACATTCAAGTACGTGTAAGAGAGTAGTTATCGTATATATATAATATGTACAACACACTTACATATGTATACTCGATCTCCAAACCGAATTTGCGAAACTGTTGTACTTGATTATTTAAGTAATCGGCACCGATTGAGCATCAAATAGGTGATCAATTTAGTTGGATAATTTAAAAGTCTTTTTTACATACATACATAAAATTTAGAAAATAATAAATTAAGTTTAACTTCAGTTGTTTCAATAGTTAATACATTTTTGCAATTTCATGAACAGAATATAATGATGTGGAAACAAGAAGAAAGTGTAATTTTTAAATTTTATAGCTAGCAAAAGAAAGTGATATTCAAAAAATATACATATATAAAAATATGCTACATATATATACAAAATATTTTTTTTTCATATAAAAATCAATCGTTCCAAAAAATTAAATAAATAAATTAAAAATCAAACCTAAGTCAATCACTTCCCATCTTCCAATATTTGCGTATGTAAATACATATGTATGTACATCTGTATGCATGTATATATGTATGTATCTATGTATGTATATGCAGTCAGAGACCAAAAGAAAATATAGTGTAAACGAAAGAGTAAACGGAATATTGAACAAACAGTAATAATAGTTGTCAATCAGTGAGCATCAGCCCAACATCGATTTCAGCTCTAATTTTGAATATTTTAACTACATCTAAGAATTCCATCCGCAGTTTCCAACATTTGCTAATACAGCACCACCGAAGCGCACAGCAAATTCAAAAGCGTCAGCATCATGACTATGGCAGGGCAGACCATCAACGATCGGCTATTAGCAGCGCGACATAGCTTGGCCGGTCAAGGTTTGGCCAAGTCGGTTTGTAAAGCAACCACAGAGGAGTGCATCGGACCCAAGAAGAAGCATTTGGATTGTAAGTATATATTCTTGAGATTACATATCTATAAATACAAATGTATGTATGTGTAAATGTGATATGTATATTTAGCTGCTCAATACTCCAATTTGTTAACTTTACAGTTATGCGTTAAGTATTTTTATTTTATACTCGCCCTTACTGTGTACATTTGGTCTGCTAATAAAATAATTCATAATGAAAAGATCTTTTTTTTGGTTGAATTGCCACACCCACAATCATATTTCATACAAATATAGATGGACCACTATGACGAAGACACTATTTCATCTTGATGAATACTAAAACAATCAGACATCCACTTTTCGGTTCCACCCGCTCTAGATCGTCGTTACCTTCTTATTAAGTTTATTTAGCCGAAGGTTACTTGTTATATTCACATATCTAACTTCATGGAATGACGAGACGAAGAGATATACTATGTGTGTCTGTCCGCCCATCTATGTGCACGATAACTATTATGTAATAAATTTGGCTTGAGATTAAGATATTTTGATGAAATTTGGATCACTCATTCTTTGGTGGGTCACAAGTACGAACGCTATTGCAAATGTGTGAAATCTCTCATGTAACGGTACTTTTGAAGACGGAAATCGTGATAATTCAGTAACTAAATGTGCAATGAAACTTTGTAGTTAGTCTACTTTTAATACCGAAACAGCGCCTCTAATATAAAACACCTTTTATCTTTGACCGAACTGTGGACTTTTGGATCGAATGAACTTATTTGATAATTAGGCCAAAACGCTGTCAAAAACAAGTCTACCTCCCGCATAACTGTATTTTTTTTTTGTTAAACATTTTAGCTTGAAAATCCAATAATTAAATTTTGTACAGTATTTTTTATTCTCGGTTGTACTTAACTAAGATGAAGTTCTGCAAATTTAGTTGAATTGTGTGTCTGATAAGGCGCTTGGGATTTATAAATATCAGCTGAGTATTTAATGTTCGGTTCCACCGGAACTATACTTCCTTACTTGTTCATTCTTTCTTTTTTTTATTTGTGATGACATTTTCTCTGTGTGAAACTCAACATTTACACTTATTGATAGTGTGATTATATGCTTTGGTATTTTGGTGAGCATGATTCATTCACATCACAGCTACATAATATGTATATACATACATATGTATGTATGTGCATATATTTCTTGTTCTTTATGTTTTTATGTTTTCTTATGACTTTTATTCACAAGTGTTGTTGTTAGCACGTTCCAGCGCTTATAAGTTTGTGATACTGTCTAACTGTCGCGGTACGCAGGCTGTGTACTGAGAGCCAATAATATAATTTTTGGAAAATACAATGCTCTTTTAACCTGATACGTACTTATTAATTGCTGTACAATAATTCTGACCGAAATTGTAATACCGTTGAAGTCGAAATTCTCCGCTGATTTCTCAATTTTACGATGCCGTATCTAGTCCTAGTAACATTTTAAGGTAGTTGATTTTGCATTTTAAAATTTAAAATAAATCAAAAGCCTTTTTTTGTGGTTCTACGCCTTACATATATACAGGGCTCGGCACTCGGAAGTGTAACTAGTTAAAAAAACATTAAATTCAGTTTGGAAAATTACTTTGAATCGATTCAAAATGCGTGAAAATAATACAAAATTCGGGAAAAACGAATTGCAAGCTGCCTGAATGTGACTTGCTGGTAATTTGGTCCACTCGCTGACAACGGCTTTCTTCAGCGCCTAGGTGCTGGTGTGTTTTTTAGTTTGGACCTTTCTCTCCAAAGTGACCCAAAGAGAATAATCAATGATTAGCTTCTGGTAAATTCGAGCGCCAATGAGTGGACATTATGAAGTTCGGAACGTTGTTTTCAGCCATTCTTGGTTCACTCGAGCTTTATTAGAGGGTGCCGAGTCCTGCGGAAACGTCCATGGTCTGCCACAAAAATTTTGTATGCCCACAGATTCAGAGATTCATTTACCTTGCCGCCAGGCTCGACTAAAGCACCCATCTGCGGTTACAGCGGACCAAACTTATCTGTGGCTGGTGCTACTTTTTGGTCGTTGACTCAAATTCTTGTATGGACGGTCGGCTAAGCGAAGCAAGCAACTCCTTTGCTCTCTCAAGTCTGACTTGTTGTTATTTGTTAATTTAAAAAAATATACAATTAAGGTCGCTACAAGTGGCTCACCATACCCGTCCTTCTATACGGCGCAGAGGCGTGGGCGACGTCAACATCCCTTAAGTCGATCCTGGGAGTCTTCGAACGAAAAGTTTTGCGAACGATTTATGGTCCTTTGCGCATTGGCAACGGCGAATACCGCAGACGATGGAACGATGAGCTGTACGAGCTAAATGATGATATTGACGAAATTACTCCTAAAAATTGAAATAAATTCGGAGGTCATTTTTCTTCACTGCAAACGTCCGTCTTCGTACGCATCCTAAATATAGTGGAGTAGGCCCTCGTGACTACATTTCCAGTAATTGGAGAATATATCCGTACAGGTGGCAAAAACTACATCACCGCTGGCAACTTACAAAGCAATTGGCTGGTCGGCCGTAAGCTATGCTGCCCCGATCTGGGCGTCGGGGACGAACGAGGCGCAGATGAAGAAGCTACAGACTTGCCAAAACACCGAACTCAGTACCGCGACAGAAAACTTCCTGATGTCGCCGGAGTATCACTTGCACAGCGAAGCAACTATGGTACGACTTAAGGAGACACCTTATCGAAGCTGAATCTCTACCTGGGCACATCAGAAAGGGAATACTGACATTAAGGACACCATCCAGCAATATGTGCAACAACCGCTGGGCAGAACGGCGTACAGACAAGCACTGAACGCCATTCGCCAGGAGTCAGTCAACACCTTCAAAGACTCCCTTTCCGTGAATGGCGTGCTTGGAGAAAAAACATTGCAGACAACGAGCTCGAGCTGCCTCGAGAGACCCTCGTGACCTTGGCACAACTTACCTCAGCATACCCAACGTATACCCTGCATGTGGAGAGTCCTCGCACGACACTAACCACCTCTTTAGATGCCCTCTTAAGCCGACACATCTAACCCCCTCTCTCCCTCTGGTTCAAACCCGTCGAAACAGCACATTTCCTGGACCTCTCATTAGATGTCCTCGGTGATTGTATAAAACTGTCCCTAAGCGGGGCAGGGAATGTCAACCCTTCGAGTGTATTTCTGACATGATATAAAACTCCTCATAAAAAACCATCAGCTGTTCGGAGGTCTGTAGGTCCTTCCATTTGTTGGAAAATCATCGAGACGCAAAACCACAAATTGGAGAAGGAGCTCGGCGGTCGCTTCAGGGGTTACAAAAAAACGAAAATTATATATATAAGCGGTGCTAGTGAACCGCTACAACAGCAACATCATCAGCGCTGCCTTCCAGATTCTCATCGCCTCTAAATACCTGATCTAGTTTACAATATGAGAAGAATATCTCATCCTCTCCGGATGCCTAAAAGAGAATATGTAACCTTACAATACAGTGTTAAATGGTTGAGGTATCTTAAAAAGCAAAAAGTTGTAGTTTTTTTCCCGCATCCAATGTTCCTTCAATATTTGTTAAATTATGTTTAAAGTTCGCTTCTTTACAGATATAATACTAAAACTATGCTTTCTTTTTTTCCGTTAAATATGATTGTGGACTCAATTTGTAAGGAAACTCTGGAATGTTTTCTTTAAAATATCATAGGAAGGGGACTTAAGGGATTTATAAATACTACCATACTAATTTTCTATTTTAGGAACTCGTTTTTTGCCGCCAACTTATTTACTTAAATACAAATTATAACGTAAAGAATAATAAAAGAAAGGGATGTCCGGGCTCTTTCCATACATTTTCAGTTGGAAGACACTCTGCCCGTACATTGACATTTTTGGAAACAAAATTATCCATTAATTATCCATAAAACTATACTATCAAACCCATTAATATTAATAATAACTTACAGTTATTCATATAAAAATCTCTCTCGCACTAACAAAAAATATATTCTTCATGCTTCTTCCTAAGTGCTCTAAGTAAATCCTCCTAAACAAAGGCAGTGAAAAAATATATAAAAATGAAACTTGTTATAAAATTATAAACTGATTCCTGTTCGAATTAATTTTTTTTTTATAATTCATTAACAGTTTTCTTTTTTTTTTTCTGTGAAAAACCCTTAGTACTGTCCGTTCACTAGCACACTTACCCTATACAAATTTAGCAGAGATTTTGTTCAGGCGCATTTAAAATTAAAAGTAAGCGTTTTCTGTTACAATTAAATTTGCGTTATGATTGGCAATTTTATTACGAATTTGTTAATGTTTTAATAATGAATTTTCATCGCAAGTGACCTTGTGAGAAGCCTAAAAAATTAGAGTAATTTTTGTTTCATAAGCAAATCAAAGTCAGTTTGTGGTAAAATAATTTAATTTCCTAACGGTCCCTTACACAAATTTACATACTTATTTGTCACAGATAATGAATCAATTTATAAAAACAATGGCAAAATTAGAAATAATATGAAGAATGGTATACAAAAAAATGCCACTTGAACGCATGTTGTTGTTGTACTTATTGTATTTTCACTTTTCAAATAGCATTAGTACGTACATACATTGAGTGTATACATTACACAATTTTATGTACATGCACACAAACATTTACAATCTAATATTTGTTGGTGTTATTTATCTGTCTCTTGTTAATACCATTGATAGAGAGAGTCGTGATTATAACTTTATAACTGTGTTTACTGTGTTCCACACACTTTCCGGGCTGGCAAAAATAATGGAGAAACAATTTTCTCTCTCCGAAGTTTTAGAAATCCACATATCGGGTCCGTTAACTAATTTAATTGTCTTTGTTGTAATGTCATAAGTACTTGAACTTGCAGATTTCAGTTATTTTATACATATTTAAAGAAAAAATTAATGATATAAAATTTTGGTGCTTTTCTTTGGGTAATCAATCCGGCAAATATTTTTTTTAGAAACAAATTAGGATTTTTATATTTTATATATTTTTCTTTCGGATAA